ACAGAGAAGCTCCCCAGCTGCCCAGAGACACTCACCTTCTGCCTCAGCAAAGCCTAGGAAAGGCTCTTCCCCAAGCCGTGCTCCCAGGCAGGCCTGCTCACCTCACCGCAACCAAGCAAACAGCCTCGAGCTCCTCAGCCCTCAAGTTGAGCCTCACTCCAAAGAAGGCAGCTCCAGAGCTGAAGGAGGAGACAGAGCAAAGCTGAAGACTGCCTGGGCGGCTGAGAGAAGCACGTGCGGGAAAAGGCTCTGCTGTTCATGTGGAAGGCTCAAGTGTTCCCACAGTCCTAGGGGGATTGTTTGTTAGGATGTAAATTTTATTTGGTTTGTGCTCAATTCAGATTCAAAATTGCTAAAGTGTGTTTGCTCTTTAGACTATAATATTTGTTGTCATAGTTGCTAGGTTGAAGTTCATCATATAAAAAGGGGGGGAACGTGGATTTACATTGCCAAAGATGTCCACAGAGTATGAGTAACATTTTTTCATTGATAGCTGACATAAATTCATTTAGAGTAAAATGTTTTAAGTCAAAAAATCTTTTTTTTTTTTTTTTTTTTTTTTTAAAGGGGTTTAAAGTCTTTTGGGATTTTTTTTTTTTTTTTTTTTGTGAAACTGGGGATTGAACTCAGGACCTTGTCCTTGCCAGGGAAGCGCTTATTCCACTGAGCCATCTCCCAGGCCCCTCTTTTGAGTCTTTAAAACACCCCTGGCTATTATTCCCAGGGAGGCTTTTCCCCTTCTCCCTCTCTCCCTCTCTCTCTCTCTCTCTCTCTCTCTCTCTCCCTCCCTCCCTCCCTCCCTCCCTTCCTCCCTCCCTCTTTTCTTTTCTTTTCTTTTCTTTTTTTGTATTTTAGGGAAGGTTCTACAAGGTGTTCAGGGTTTCACTACTAGATTGGACTCATAGTGATCTGCCAATTTACAGCCTCCCAAGAGCTGGGATTATAGGCACCCCAATCTCAATTGCCGTCTCAGAGCCCCCTGGGGACAGGGCCGGTATGGCAGGCCCAGGGATTGAACCCCCGACCCCTACTTCTTTTTCTTTTGTTTGCTTTTTGTTATTTGAGTTTTTACATCCATTTAAGGTATGCTTCCAACCTTGTATGGTTTGTAAGCTTGTCCAAAATTAGACCACTGTTAAAGTACCACAAAAAACATAGATAAAGGGATGTTCTAATGTCATAGTCTTTACTGTAGTCTGTGGAATTGCTGCTGAAACAAATGGTATTTGAACTCCAGGTGGAGACAGAAATATGAGTTTGTTTTCCAGGACACTAGGCTTATATGGTGTGTACATTGATTCAGAACACTGGAACTGGACTCTACTCTGTTCTGGGTTTCTTTTTTCTTCTCCTTCCCTTGTCACCAGTCCCCTACCTTTCCCTTCTCCCCATGCTTGTAAATGCAGTTAAGTCATCCCAGGAAGGATTGATGGATCCTTCAGTTGTATGAAATCTTTGTTTTCTTAAATGTCATGGCTCCATTCATATTTTTGTCTTATTCTTCCAATTGGGATTATATAGTGTTCAGAGCTCTTTTGGGAGCTGGAAGAACCTGGACTTTGAAATAGTGTCTTAGTTTCACTGTTTTGTTTTTGTTTTTTAAACTAAAGCTATATGAAACTTGTGGATTAAATAATAATTTCTAAATTAAAATAAGTACAGTACAATTATTTCTAAAAAATTAAAGTTAATTCCTAATAACATCATTTGTTTTTTATAGTTGGTTTATTCAAATAAGAATCTAAACAAGACCTGTACATTACATATAATTATGTTTATGCATCTGTTTTTAAATATTCTTCCATCTCTTAACAGTTTGTTTATTCTTAAAATCTGATGGATTAACTATGAGTTTATCAGAAGCCAGATTTTTTTTGTCCCTATGGTATCATATGTTTATATCTTTCTCTTCTGCATTTACTGTGAACTGATGATATAGAGGCTTGATTTGTTCTTGGCTCCTTTTTCCTCTCAACAGAATAATGCTTTATGAATGGTGGTGATATTCACGTATTTGCCACATAGCACACATAATATCTCATTCTCTCTCTCTCTCTTTTTTTTTTTTTTTGGTCATAAAAGTGATTAGAGAGTTAGGTACTATAATTCTGATACACTAGCTCTAAAGTTCCTGAAACAGCTTTTTTTGTTAGGATTTTAATAGCTATTGATGATTTTGCCTAGACCAGTGTTTTCATTAGAATTATAAAGCTGATACTGAGGGACCAAGTTTCCATCCCTGGTCCACATGCACCGGCCCCGCCCCTCGGGCATGTTGAGCTGGCCACCCAGTCCAGGTGTGGTGGAGCATACCTGTAATCCCAGTGGTGGGAGGCTGAAAAATAGGATCACTAGGAGTCCAGTTTGCCTAGTAAGACCCTGTACCAAACGCAGAAATGAAAAACAAAATAAAACAAAAAAAAATCCCCTGTTATGTAGGTTTCAAAAAAACAAAAAAACAACTTTTTTCTCTTGAAATACCTTGCTTCATGGTATAAGAAAAGTTAAAGTACTTCTTTCCTTTTTCTTATCAATTTTGAAAATAATGAATTGACACTATAGCACTGATTAGAAGGGACCAGTGAGGTATTTTGCGTATTTTATCTTTAGTATCATGAATTCATAGATTTAAAAATATTAGGGTTTAGTTGTTCACAGATATTATCCTTCTTGATGTTCAGATTGCATCATCTGTGGTTAGTGGGAGTCCCTGGATGTCATGCTAATAGGTTTCGCTAGTTTTCTTGCTTCCAGGTATGATAAGATGTTCCTGGATCCTTTTGTGTATTCCTGGCCCAGGCCTGGAGTTAGCCGTTTCTCCCAGGAGCCATTACTCTTGAATTAATCAGTGTTGCTATACTTTTTCATTGCGTAAACTTAGGAATTTTTTAAAATAGAAAACTTTTTGTGGTATTTCTTATTCAAATTTTGTGTCTTCGTTCCAAATTACATTAACTTGACTGACTTGTTCATATTATGTCTAATGGTTTCAGAATAGCTATCAGTGTTGCTACTAATGGGATCACTGAAATAGTTTATGGTTTTGTTTTTACTTCTCTTTGCCTTAGTATACATTTCATTAGAAATTTGTATTTATATTACTATGTTTAAAGGTCATTTGAAATAATTCTTTTGAACATGGTTAAGGTACCATCTCAGTATACAGTTAGTTTTATTTGGTTTAGGAATTTTTTTCCCCTTGACATAGAAAATTTATTTTTACTGGTACATTTTAGATATACGTAATGACGACATTCAGTAGAGGGAATTTGTACTTGTCCATCATATATCTTTTTTCTTCTCTGGGATTTTTTAAAACTTAATTTTGTTTTATCATTTATATGGCTTCAAACTCCTTGACATTTTAAATACTTCATAGAGTATGTTAGAAAGTTAAATTTTTAAGTCAGGAAGTGAATGAATATTTGTATTTTATGGAAGAAATTACATGGTATATGGTTGGTACTGTCTGGGAACTTTGAAGTTCTGAGCAGGATCTTTCATGATCATGAAAATACTATTGTAGGAAGGAAAGCTTAGGAGATATTGTATTCAGATCATAGAATACTACTTTTCAGTATAAGTTTGGACTTAATCTGTAGATAGTACAGAGGGAATAAAGGGTTTATAAGATTATTAGCTTTATTTTATTTTTGGCGGAACTGCGGATTGAACTCAGGCCCTTGCACTTGCCAGGCAAGTGCTTATTCTACTGAGCCATTTCTCTGGCAATTACTAGCTTTAGATTTTTTTTTTTTTAATGTATTTAGTACAGGGTCTTTAGGGTCTCACTATGTAGATCAGACTTGTAGGGATTCTTCTGTCTTCAGCCTCCCAAGAGCTGTCATTACAGGCATGTGCCACCATGCCCAGTCTCAATTGCTATCTCAGCATGCCCAGGGGATGGGGCTGGCACGACATGCAGGCACTCTGGGGATTAAGCTCCAGTTGCTGTACTCTGCCTAAGCAGGTGTGTTAGTCTCCTGAGCTATCTGGCTGGCCCTAGCTTTAGATTCTTCAAATGAAAAATTTGGAAGCACACTTCTTAGTTTTCATGGCAACTCTGTAATGTAATTGAGTAGTTATATAAAATATATTTTGTTAATGGAGAAACTAAAGCATACTTGTTAATGGCCGTAATGTGTTTATTGAGACCATACTATGGGCCTGGTACAGAATATTATACTAAGTAATTGTCTTCCTCATCCTTATAGCAGTCAGGACAGAGGCCGGAATGGCATTATGCTCATCCTCATGTTATCAGGGAAGACTAAGATTTCGCGGAAATATAGCAAATTGTCCAGGATTGGATCTTAGACCTGTAATTGACATTATGAGAAGAACCAGTGAAATTTGAGACTTGCCTATTAGATGATTTTGATCAGGTTATATCCAGTATTTGTTGATCATCTGTGATTAAATAAGAGAATGCCTTTGTACTTAGGATATAGAATTTACATATACAGTAAGGGTTAATGGGTGTCATGTCTAAAACATTCTCAAATGGCTCAAAAATGTTAACAACTTGATAATGTGGGCGAATGGTATCCAGGAGGTCTACAATTCTTAAGTGAATTTAAAATTATTTCAAATAAAAAATATTGACTTGCCAAAGTCACATAGGTAGAATGTGCAGAAAAGAACAGTTAGTTGAATTTAAGTGTGTTGTAAATGTGTTTGTGTGTGTGTGTATCTTCACTACCTTTTCTATTTTTTTCTAAGATCACAGATAATAGCAAAAATAAAAACATCAAGCAGTTTTATTCACTCCTCATAGTTATTAGTTATACTTAAAAAATTTCTTCAAATCAGCTTGTTTGCCTTGTGTAGTATTTATACTCTGCAATTTCATAATAAACATTAAGTGATAAGGGTTTTTCCTTTATATGTTATTGTAATCTTATATTATTATGAACTGTTAAATATATTTTATAATTTATGCATCTGAATTTAGTTCCAAATGTAACCATTTGGAAAATCTGCTTTTTGTTTTAATATAGGTTATTTTATGATGAGGCTTTTGCTATGGCTAATGACCCCTTAGAAGGCTTCCATGAAGTAAACCTTTCTTCGCCTACTTCTCCGGACCTTCTTAGTGTATATGAACCAGGGACTCAGGAGCAGACTACCTCACCAAGCGTCATCTACCGGCCACATCCTGCAGCTTTATGCCCTGCGCCTGTCCAGGCTAATGCCTTGGATGTTTCTGATCTTCCTACACAACCTGTGTATTCATCCCCCAGACATTTAAACTGTGTGGAAATATCTAATATCAGGTAGGAGATTAAAACACTTACTTTGAATGTTTTTTAAAAATGAGCAGTTTGCTTGGTTACCTTAAATTTTACTGTTTTAGAAAATTTGAATAATATAAGCTTACCCATATGGAGCAGTATGTATCAGTGTTGTGGAGAGTGACTGGCAAGCTTTATGTAAGGGCCAGGTAGTAAATGTCTTAAGCTTTGCAAACCATTCAGTCTGTCCCAGCTGTTCAGCACATGCTTTGTTTTTCTCTTTATTTTTTGTGGTATCAGGATTCAAATTCGGGACCTGGTGCTTGCCAGGCAGGCGCTTCTGATGCTGAGTTATACCTCTGGTCCTTGTCCCAGCTGTTCAGTTTGCAGCTTTGGAGTGTGAAAGCAGCTGTAAGCAGAATGAAAATGCATGAGTGTGGCTATGCGCCAGAGAACTGTATATTATGGATACGGACATTTGAATTTCATGAAATTTTCTTTTTTCTTTTTGACTATTACAAAAGTTTATTTAACAAAAATTTAATATATGAAAACGTGTATGACCCAATCTTCAGTCAGTGAAAGTAGCACTTGGAGGAGGGGCATGAATTTTTCTGCTGAGCAGTCATTATTTAAACTCGTTCCAAGGCTTCCAACATGATGATACTATTTCCTCGTATTACCACCATTCCAATGTTGTTCTGTTGCCCACCAGTTGCCATCTCCACACATTCATCTATCACAAGATTCATGAAGGGATCAAATCCTCGCAATATTCTTTGGACATGTCTGCCACCATTCAATTTCAATGATAACTTCTTGTCCATAAATTTCTTCAGCTCGGAAGGGTGAGCTTTGCTCATCTTGTCTAGTCGACGGGCTCAGGGAGCCTTTGAAAGGAATCTACAACCTCCGTCACGCTCCCGCGGTGGGGTCGACGCTTTACGTCTCATAAAATTTTCATATGCCACAGAATACTATTTTAAAAAAATTTTTCCAACCATTTGAAAACATAACTGCTCTTGGCCTCAAGGGACTTATGAAAACAGGTGGCTGGCTTGATTTAGCCTGCAGATTTTAGTTTGCTGACTCTTCTAGAGTAGCACTATCTGATAGACCTGTGTGGTAGATGTGTTCTGTTTCTACAGTAATAAATGCGATAGCCTTGAGGCACATGTGGCTATTGAGCTCTTGTGATGTGGCTGGTGTAGCTGAAGTCTTGCTGTTAATTAAGTATTGGCTAGTGCAGTGGAGAGCTGTGGTTTATGCCATTTCTGGTGATCGCGTGCTGATCTCTGAAAAGTCATTTCTCTCTTTTACAGCATTCATGTTACAGACCCAGCACCGACTGCTACCTCAGGAGTTTCATCTGGGCTGACTAAATTAACTAACAGGAAGGACAGCTGTAATGCAGAGAGGGAGTTTTTACAGGGTGCTACAGTCACAGAGGGCTGTGCTGGCAGTGAAGATATTTTTGGTTTGAGTACTGATAGTCTGTCCCGTTTAAGAAGCCCATCTGTTCTGGAAGTTAGAGAAAAGGGCTATGAAAGACTGAAAGAAGAACTTGCAAAAGCTCAGAGGGTAAGAATTTTATTATTATTATTATTATTATTATTATTTTTAATGCTTTAGAAATTGGGGGTAAGCAGCTCATAAACATCATTACAGCTATACTCTTGTCCTTCACCTATGCCCCGCCTCAGCTCCTGTTTCACAGCATTTGGGAACCTGTGAAATTGGTTTGGAAGTAAAGAAGCCCCTCCTAAGATGAATAAGGGGAACACTGAGATTCTGAAACTCTTCTGTAACCCCTCCATTGACTTGTTTTTTTGTCTTGCACTATACGTAGTGCAAATTTAGTGGGTTATGTGAGTAAATTTTTCCATTAGATGTGATTGACTTGATAAGTCATTTATATGAAGTAATTCCCTGAAACTTTTTTTTTTATTTTAGAAATTGTTTTAGTAGCATCACCTGTTATTTTTCTGGGTTTACATATTTTTCTGCTTTAGAGAATTTTCTTTTCCTAGTAAATTGTCTTGTTTTCTCCCTGGTACTGTGTTTAAATTTCAGAGAGAAATGTGTAGCATTGGAAACATGGAAAAATTTCAAATGGATAGTATAAACTTCCAGTTTAGGAACTTGAAAAGGATGGTTAAATAAAACCAGATCCAGGAAATAATCATAAGACCAGGAATCAACAAAATTGATAAGAAAAAAAAGAAGCAACAAAATACTGGTTAACACCCCCCCAACAATGAAATTCACAGGCCTCTGGCAAAACTGAGCAGAAATACCCCCCAAAACCAGATGATACAGATTAACAGTAACAGGAATGAAATGGGCTATTGCTGTAGACCCTATAGACATCAAAAGTACAATTAGGAAATAATACGGACAACTCCTAATCATAAATTAGGCAGCCTTGGTAAAAATACAAAGATACATTTAGAAAATTGGGATGGTGATGCAAACATTCTATAGGTGTTGTTTCCAGCATACTGTGTGACATTTCACAAACATATATTTCACCTTCTCTGTACCCTGCTTGTCTTTCAAGGGCATAATATTTTTAAATCCTCAGTGCCTAGCATAATATAATACAGTGTCTGTGTTTTTTTTTTTTTTTTTTTTTTGTGGTACTAGGGATCAAACTCAGGACCTTGTGCTTGCCAGGAAAGCACTTATTCCACTAAGCTACCTCCCTGGCCCCCCGCATTTTTTTTTTTTTTTTTTTTTTTTTTTTTTTTTTTTTTTTTTTTTTTTGTATTAGGGATCAAACTCAGGACCTTACATTTGCCAGATGGACACTTAGGTCACTGAGCTCTCTCTCTAGCCCCATTGTCTCAGTGCTTTGGTGAATCACAGATGGTTAGACAGCCATGAAGATATGTTAATACTTTTTTGTTAAAATATATTTTATCAGGAAGAAAAATCAGTAGCCTTTTAAATCTTTTCCCGGTAGGAATGGATGTGGTGAGATATGGCTGCATTTTGCTTTTACCATTTGGCTTAGCCTTTATTGTCTTAATACACAGTATAGTAGTGAAGTCATAGATTATACAGAAGCAAGCTATTGTGTTTATCCATCTTTGAAAATACATTTTATGTACTTATTCTTCAGAGTAGATTCCTAATTTCTTTGCTCAGCTGGGAATTTCCTCTGAAATAGGTACTGTTGAGGTAATTGAAATGATGTGTAAGTACCTATGGAGGGTGAATTTCATTGTGAAAAGTACAAGATAGCTTGATATTTTTAGGTTTTTAAGTCCTAAAGAGAACTAATTCTTGAATATCAAAAGACTTTCTAATTTATGGCATCTTGTGAGTCAAAACTGTGTCAGCAGCCATTTTTAAGTGCTGATTACTTTTTTTTTAAGCAAGTCAGGTAGCTGCCTTTTTTATTCTTTGCTTTTCACATATTGTTTTTAAAGTGAGTTTTTTGTGGGTAATATAACTAATATAACTATTGCTAATATAACTATTGCTAATATAACTATAATAGTATAACTAATGTAGCTATTGCATTTTTATCCTTTCTGATCTCGCATTTTAATTGGTGTATTTCATTCACATTTAATGTGATATTCATATGGTTTGTTTAAATCTAACATTTCATTTGTGCTTATATTTATTCTCATCTGATCCTTTCTCCCATTCTTTTATAGTGTATATTTTGTTTCATCATATGTTCTTTGCTAATTGGCTGTATGTTTTTGTTGTGTTAATTTAGTACTTACTTTAACATTCATGGTATACATCTTTGTACTTGTTACTGTGTACTTAGCAGTGATGCACTGTACTACCTCACATGTGGTGGAAGAACCTTAGAAAAGAAGAAGGCGGGATATGTTACATAATATGTGTTACAAGTCACAGTACATTGTTATTATTTTTATATTAAGCTGTTATCTTTTAATAATGATTTAAATAATGAGATATCTAAATCTAAATAATGAGATATTTAAATAAGATTTAAATAATGAGAATCTATATTTTTCTTTATATAGGAAAAGGAAATGCAAACATTCTATAGGGGTTCAATTCCCCAGGGCCTGCAGGCTGGCCCCGCCCCTGGGGCATGCTGAGACAGCAATTGAGACTGGGTCTGGTGACGAATTACTTATTCGATACAGGGTCTTGTTACACAGTTCAGATTCATAATGGTCCTCCTGTCTCAGCTTCCCCAGTGCTGGGATTACAGGTGTGCACCACCATGCCCGTGGCATGTGATACCCGGGTGTGGAACCCAGGTCCTGAAAACCCCATGTTTTCTGTCCATTTAGCTACTATTTCTAGTACTCTTCTTTCCTTCGTGTGTATTTAGGTTTCCAGCTGATGTCAGTTTTCTTCTGCTTGAAGGGCATGCTTCAATACTTGTTGTTTATGCCTGGTGGTGAATTCATTTTTTTGTTTTTGTTTTTGTTTTTGTACTGGGGATCAAACTTAGGCCCTTGTGCTTTCCAGGGAGGCGCTGTGCTGCTGAGGTGGTAAAATTTTTCAGCTTTTTGTTTCTGAAAATGTCTGTTTACTTTTGTTTTTTGAAAGGTATTTTTATAAGGTAAAGAATTTTAGGTTGATAGGTTTTTTCTTTCTTTTAGTAATGTTGCGCCATTGCCTTCCACAGCATATGTTGTTTTTCACAGGAAGTCTGCTGTTTTCCTTACCTCTGGTTTTTTTGTATGTGATATTTTTTCTTTCTGGCTACTCCTGATAGTTTTCTGTAAGCCGTTTGATTATGATTCGTCTTGATGTGGTTTTTTGTTGATTTCTTTTGTGATTGGTATTTGTTGTGCTTTGTGAGTCTGTAGGTTGTTAGTTTTCATAAAATTTGGGATATCTGGCCATCATGTCATCAAAAAGTTTCACATTCTTTCCTTATGTCCCCTTATTTTGGACCCCTATTGCATATAAAATAGATTGAAAAATGGTCTCATAGTTCACTCAGGTTCTGTTCATTTACTTAAAAATCTTTTCCCCCTTATTTTTTAATGTATTTGGTACAAAGTCACACTATGCAGCTTGGACTCGTGGGATCCTCCTGTCTCAGCTTTCCCAGCACTGGGATTACAGGTGTGTGCCACCATGCCTGGTCTTGGTGGCTGACTCAGCATGCCCGGGTCAGAGCTGGTGTGGCATGTGGTGCTGGGGATTGAACCTGGACCCTGCGCTTTTCTAAGCAGGTGCTCAGTCTACTGAACTATTTCGCTGGCCCCTTTTCCCTCTGTGTCATTGTAGGTAGTTTCTGTTGTAGTGTGGTCATTGTGACTATTCTTTCCCTCTTCAATTTCTAGTCTGTTACTTCCCACACATTGTTATTTTTTATTTTTATCTTTTTTGTACTTTAGGGAAGGGTCTACAAGGTGTTCAGGGTTTCCCTACTAGATCAGACTGGTAGTGATCCGCCCGTTTACAGCCTCTCAAGAGTTGGGATTATAGGCAGGTGCCACCATGCCCAGTCTCAATTGCCGTCTCAGCATGCCCTAGGGCATGATGATCCCCTGGCCCCTGTGCCTGCTTGCAGGTGCTTTAATATGCTGAGCCCTCATACATTGTTGTTTTAAAATAAATTTTATGAAATTTTTATTATTTATTCGATACAAGGTCTTGTTACACCGTTCAGATTCATAATGGTCCTCCTGTCTCAGCTTCCCCACTGCTGGGATTACAGGTGTATGTCACCATGCCCGATTTCGGGGCCCAATGGCATGCAATACTGGGGGTGGAACCCAGGTCCTTGGGCTTGCCAGGCAAGTGCTTAGACTACCACGCTCTCTCTCCAGCCCCTCATACATTGTTATTAAACCTACAGATTGTATTGTCCATCTCCAAACTTTGAACATTTTTTGCATTTTGCTTTGTTTAACGTGATTAATCCTAGGTATAGTTTATAGAACATAAGAAAAACAGGCTTAACCTTTTCTAATCTGTGATCTCTAATCATACAGTTCTCACCCTAACACCCCATCATTCCCTTTTCTGGAGGATCATTACCTTTTGTACTATGTTTGACATCTTGAAAATTGTTTCATATATTTTTCCAGTTCTTTAGTTGTATTCGTGGGTGGTAAATCTGACCCTTTTTACTGCATCTTGATTGGAGGTGGAAGTTGTGTTGATTTTTATTTGACTGTACCATCCCATATAAGTAACTCTCACATGAAAATTCTCCTTCCTCACACATGCTTCAGTTAACTTGAGTTTCATGACTAAGGATGCAGATGTTTCTGCTCATGGTATATAGTGAGCATAGCACACATTCTTAATACTCTTTTTTTGATACTGGGACTTGAACTCAAGACCTTGTGCTTGCCTGGCAGGCACTGTGCCACTGAGCTGCATCCCCAGCCCAGTGCATTTTGTTGATTAAAGGAATTGTATATGTGTACATGCAGTTATACTAGCATAGGAGTAGGCACACGTACATGATATATTAAAGCTTTGCTGCTACTGGAAGGAAGCCTAGGATTTTAGTAGCTTAACTACATAGAAGTTCATTTTTATTAGTAGTTGATAGGCAGTTCTTCTCTGTGAAATAAATAATGCCTGGCTTTGTGTTTCTTTTGTTGAGGGTCTTTTAA